AAGTTTGAAACTTGTGCTAAATCATTTTTTGGATGGCTCATTATCTTGCAGGTCCAGCTGCTTTGGGTAAATTTGGTCACTGATGGGCTGCCTGCAACAGCAATTGGATTCAATAAGCAAGACTCGGATGTTATGAAGGCTAAACCCCGTAAGGTATTTACAATGAGTTTGCTTAAAAATAAGTTCTTTGGTCTAGATTCCTGTTTGGTCATGGGCCTATGCATGGGGCAAGGGGGCTTCATATTTTCTTGTTTGGGTCCCTTTTAGGTTTTTTTTTTTTTGGGGGGGGGGGTATGAATTTTAGGTTATATCTTTAGTATGTTACAAAATTTAAGCTCGTTGAGGTAGCTTTATCTTTCCTCTCTTTTCGTTTTTGAAGTATTACTCTAGTTGATGGTTATTTGCACTGGGTAAAGATTGATTGGCCATTGTCTGTATAGTAATTAGCATGGTATTACCCTTTTGTGGTGCAAGGATCATATCAAGTATGATTTAGTTACTTGAGCTGTTTAATTGAGGATGTCTATCCAGAAATGCTTTTTCCTTTTTTTGGCCAATAGAAAAGGCACAATTTTGTCGAATATTTAATTTGCTTTTGCAAACAGGTTAATTTTGTCGAATATTTATTGTAACCAATGAGATCCCAATCTTCACTTTTCTTTCAAGATCAGATGTAAATATGCTGTCAGTGCAGTATGTGTGTTTTGTTTTTTCTTTTTGGAATTTTTGCAATGTTCAAGATATTTAATTAACATCTCGCCTATTGATGTGTGGCAAAAACTTTAGTATCCCAAAAAAGGGGTAAATCACTCCTTATGTAGGAGAAGCGACGGAAATTAATTTTTACTCCTCTGATTTGTGAAGGATGAGAGATCACGTTTCCGATGTTATTATCTTATGTTTTGTTATCTTTTCTTTTTATTCTTTATGAGCATCGGAGGTTCATCTCAACTTTGTTTGAATGGCAGGTCAATGAAGCAGTGGTGTCTGGATGGCTGTTCTTTCGTTATTTGGTTATTGGAGGTAGAAATAAATAGCTTAACAAGTCTTTGTTTATGCATTTTGTTTGTGAGTGTTCATAGCTTGTGCTTGCTTGTGTTTCAAGTGGTTAGCATTTTGCAGATGATATTCTTACATATAAACCTAGGAGATTAGTTATGTTTCAAATTGCTAGCACATGAGGTTTACTATCAGCTGTCTATTGGACTTTCTGGTGAAATAATCTAAAATCCTCTTCCTTATGTCCCCTTATGGTGTGCTATTGGTTAACATCTTTTCCAGATATTTTTGCTGCTAAAAAATATTTTTACAAATTGCTGCTTGGGCACAGTTTTCCTAGTATACTGCAAGTTACCAAGTGCTGCTTGGGGACAGTTTTCCTAATTTACTGCATTACTTGACCTGTATGTCAGGTTAGTTCTTGTCTTTGATAGTTTTATAGTAACTAAGAATGAGCAATTAGAAGAGAGGAAACAGGTTTAGGTAGGAGAGAGATCATTGTCCTTACCTCCGTCCCATCCTCCTTTTCTGAGTGGTCGGGATCTGCCCTCAGAGAGGTCCTAAGTCCTAAATCTGGGAGTTTACTCCAATAACATGTACACTAATGTTTTCATCTGACCAGTTTACTCATTAAATTATGCAACTTGGATTAGAATTCACCCAGAGTTGCCATGCACCTAGCCCATTCTCTAGGTCCAACTCAGTACCACATTGATAGATTTTGGAATGTCATATATAATGTTTTCTTGTAGAAAGAGTCCAAATAACTTGCATTAAAGTCAAGCTGTATATGTAAGTCATAGTATGTGACAGATGATGCATTTTTTAAATTCTAAACTTTATCCTTATTCGTCCTATTTGTTGTTATTGAGATCTTTGTTACTGCAGCATATGTTGGACTTGCTACTATTGCTGGATTCATATGGTGGTTTGTGTACTCTGATAGTGGGCCTAAAATTCCATACAGTGAATTGGTAAGCTTTCTATTTGAGATTTTTTGTTTTCAAAATGTGAAGTGTGAAGTATCATAGACACTAAAGCAGACCTGTATACTTTATTTTCCTATTTTGTGTACAAGCATTTTTTAGCTCCTAATATCTTCATAATTGTTGCATTTATCACTTTCACTAGTGTTCTTCTTTAAGCTTTGCTTATCCATTTTGATTGTGCACATCGTATGTTTTACAATTATTTGCTAAAACTAGGAGACTCTGGTATGTACTAAGTCCAAAAATTGTTTGACTGACACTTCTTTGTTGTATCTGATTATTTCAGATGAATTTTGATAGCTGTTCAACAAGGGAAACTGCTTATCCATGCAGCATATTTGGCGATCGGCATCCATCAACTGTTTCAATGACAGTGCTTGTTGTGGTCGAGATGTTCAATGCCTTGAATAATCTTAGTGAAAATCAGTCCCTCCTGTGAGTTCGCTGAAATATGTGAAAGTTTGTTTTGTTATATGAACTTATATTTACCTTCAGTTCTGAGCTGCCTTTGTTTCGAATGGTACTCTCTTTCTGTTTCTTGATCTTGTAATGCATTTTCGTTTCGCTGGTTGCAATGGAGGCTCAAATGCTGTTTATGATTGTCAGTGTCATTCCTCCCTGGAGTAACTTGTGGCTAGTTGCTTCGATTGTCCTGACAATACTCCTCCACATGCTTATTCTATATGTGCAGCCATTAGCAGTCCTTTTCTCTGTAAGTCCTTTTCTCTGTAAGTCGATTTTTTTCTTGTTCCAACAATTTCAAGTGATTTATAACTGATGATGCTCCTCCATTTTCATGTAGGCTTTTGATATTCTAATTTTTACCCGTTCTATTTGCAGGTTACACCATTAAGTTGGTCAGAGTGGACAGTTGTGTTGTACCTTTCATTTCCTGTGAGCAATCATACCTTGAAAATATTTATGCATGAATGGTTAATTTCTTTATATAGATGGGAATGCAAAAATTATGTATATTACGAACTTCCACCTTCGCTTATGATCTTATAAACTGGATGAACGTTGATCTCCATTTTTTTTTTCGGTAAAGAATATCTCAGAAGTAGTAAAACTAATCATGTAATTCCTTGTCCTCAATGGCCACAAGGTTAGAACAGATTCACTAAATTAATTACTGATTGTTAAGTCTGTCCGTGGATCAACAAAAAGTCTTCTTAGCTGTGTTAGCTCTTGGGTACTGCATGTTAATGCCCTTAGTTTTCCTTCACACCATACAGAGTGTAGACAAGAAGAAGCACCAATTTGCATAGTTTCTGGAATTGTACAAAAATTGACTGGACATGTATGCTTTAACAGTTCCTTTCAAGCTCAGTTTCTTAATTATAATTAAAAAAAGCAATTAGAGATGCATGATTCCAGGGACAAATGAATAGCGTGAATTGAGTTAGTTTGATGCTTTGTACATATGAAGCAGAGTTGTGTTTTTACTAGCATTCTATGGGAGAGGGGGATGGCATCAATTTGGAAAGATAAGAGAAGAAAGGGGGTCTTAAGTCATCCTTATTCAATTTGCATCTGAACAGAACCTCTTCATTGGCTTACAACAAATTCCTTGTGACTGTTGTTGCCTGGCTAACATCATTTACTCTGATGTCATATTAGTGGTAACAGTTGATATAAGATTCACTTACTAAGAAAGTGCTAGAAACTGTATATTAGACTAGTGTAAACCTTTCATAAACGTAAAAACGCAAGTTTGCTATCAGTTTACATGCATTCCACATTTTTAATGAGAGTTTCCCTCTGGTTCAGGTTATAATAATTGATGAGATACTGAAGTTCTTCTCAAGAAATTCTGGTAGTATTGTTTTCACGTTTTTCTTTTTTTTTCTTTTTCTGTCTTCCCTAATGACTGAGATATAATTTTCTATGGTAGGGTATTATTCTTGATACATCATTAATATTTTTCATATTCCTCCTGTTGTTTCGATTGGTTCAGGCTTAAGGTTCACCTTTAGATTTCGGAGAGGAGATTTACTTCCAAAAAAGGAGTTGCGTGACAAGTAACAAAGAGTGCTGGCCAACTCCTAAGTTTTCTGATGGAGGTATTTTGCATCTTTTCTGTTGCATACAGCTGTGAGTGCGTATGATCTAATCTCAGATACATGACTTGCTTATGTTCTCATCTGCAGGCGAATTGGAATTTGCATTATGTATTGCAAGGGATTTCATCTGAGCTCTGGATATCCATTATACTGTAGTTTTAATGGTTCGAAAGCCCTGTAGTTTTGTAACCACAAAGAGGAGAGCTGGAAAAGCTACACTTCTCCGCATCAATTTTGACCAGTTACGGAAGAAGTTGACTGTTTTGGTGGGTGACCGCTCCAGGGATCGGAGCGAATTGATTGTAATTATATCTCGGAACTAGCAAAATTACTGATGGCACAATAATTTTCCAAGTTATAAAGCGTTATTCATTCTTCCTTCCCTTTTGGGGAGTTTCAAGTATTCCTTATCCATGATTATTTTCTGAGAATACAAATTGGACATGTAGAGAAAAATGATTTATTAATTCGACATTTTTAAAATTTTTTCGTACAATTCCACATTTAGCTTCATATAATTCCTTTTTTTTTTTTTTTTACTATGTAAAAAAACTAAACTGCCCATGAGTTCTAAACTTTTCAACTTTTCATATGCAATTCAGCTGCCACCAGTGAGGATTTGAAAGCCCTTCTGGGTATTGGGTCCCTGACAACGTAAAATGCCGTGGTGACTCTTTTTGCGTCTTCTTCATCCACATGGTATCGAAGCAGGTTAGAAGTTGTCATATCAAATAATAATAATAATAATAATCAACTGGCGAGTGTAAACAATAAATATTCTTCCAAACTTTTTGCCTAACTAAAGAGAAGGTTTATGTATGTGAATCCGTAAGTGGAGTATAAAAATCATTACTACGTATGTCTATTTGGAGTATACGGATACATCTAATATTTACATTAGTTTAAAATATCTTTTACTTTGAGGAAAGAAAAAAAAGGAAAAGAGAAATGAAAATCAAGAACGCCCCGACCCGTTATTAAATTATCAACCCAAATAAAAGTGAGAAAAGGCGGCGGACTGCTCGTCAGCTTCTCTTATTATTTTTAACAAAACAAAATAAAATTCATTCAATTCAGAAGAGGACGACCACCATAGCCGTCGGTCTGACCATCATCGCAGAGTTGGAGTCGGACGACAGGAGATTTTATTATAGTTTAGTTTCCTTTCCTCCACTGGGGTCAATCATAAAGGTTCGTAGGATATCCACCTTTGGAACATGGCTCTGCACTGAACTGGCTTGTACTCTGGTGCCGTGTGCCCAGCTCCCTGTAGGCAGACGCAAGACTGAGCAAGAACTCGAGCATATAAGACCTCAAATCAAATGTAATGAGATGTGCATTCCAAAGTTTTATGTTATCCCCAGGGAATTTTTATTCTAGTTAAAAGGGAGGGATAAAGAGAGAGTCCATTTCTTGCCTTGACTGTCGCGAATGTCATCCGGTTGGCATAAGTTCTCGTATATCTACACAATCACAGGATATATTATAAAAGCCTCAAATTTAGGGTTTTGTCAAGAGCTTCACGTCGAGTTAAAAATGCATAAGAAGCTAATTCTTGGAACCTACCCAGCAACTTGACCTTCAACAAACCAAGGTCGCCATTCATCTACAATGCTGTAGTTTAGAGATCTTATCCAGTCTTGAGTTCCAAAATGCGGCAAAACCATGTCATGGTCACCACTGATTTACAAAAAAAAAAAAAAAGAATTTTCATGGCATATAGCAGTACTGCTCTGCTGGCTAACTTAACTTATAAGGATTCACTTCTAAATATAGTCATGATTAAGGCATCTGTGGAAATAAAATTGCTCTACCTGTAAACGAGTGACCTGTAGCCTAAGGTGCTGAGATTTGCATGATAAGGTACGCTGCTGTGGATTGTCTTTGTATAAAGCAAGTTGTCGTTGCATCGATGCCAATATCCAACATGCTTCTGCGTGAAGTGTACAAAAGTTTGTGATGCGATATCAGAGGAAATCTGGTTCATGGACTAGAAGGAGCGGAATTGTGTAAGAGCAATAAATTTAGGAGCCAAAGCTGTTTGGCACTGCAATTTTTCCATTATAGTACCTGTTGCCCATTTCTTTTATTGCATCCTGCATTTACAGATTTTATTTCCTCGCCAAATTTCATCACATATTTTTGCAGCCTAGTTTACTTACTAATGGTTGAAAGTTTCACATCACCAGAAATTAGGAGCAATGAGACAGCAATCGGATTTATTCCACATGCTGTATCAATCTCCAACAGTGGATAGCTAATGTCGTCATGCTCTTTTTCGGAAGATTCTTTTTTGTTTTTGTTTCTTCTACTGAGATGCACTTTCACTCGTTCTTTCCTCTCTGCGTAAGAAAAATATGTCTCAACATGGATTACGTTCTAATAAGCCAACATGGATATCTTTCATTATTAGGAAACTAGAGTGCTCCATTTGCCGTGAATTTATTTTCCTGTGATGTTGTAAATAACCACAAAACATTATGTCAAATTCTCACTCAATACAGTAGCCCAGTAAAAGTAAAACCTGCATCCGCATGCATAATGTCGTCAAGACTGAAGTGAAAAGGGAGAAGCATTAGCTTGAGTGAGCAAGCATACTGCATCTAAAGTTAAGGTGATTGAAAGTACCTTCGGGATGTCGAGGGCTTCCCGGACACTTTGGTCATTAGCCCAAATTTCAGCCAGCACAAATGCTTGTTCCTTCCAAAAAATGGGTTAAAATGAATCGTAAGGATCCAGAAAACTAACTGGTGAATATGAAGCTATTGCTATGGGAGTTGTGGCAGATGACAAGATCTTACACGACATTTGAATGCAAGGAGTAGGTCATGTCCACTAAGTTCTTGGGATGTTTCATCCAGATCTCTTCTCTGAGCATAGGTTTTTTGAGGCTTTGGCGCTCGTAAACCACAATAATTTTCCAAAATGTTCGAAAATTTGATGCTCTCAACTAACTGCAGAGGTCCATAATTGACGTCATTATCTTGATATCGAATATTACAAGTATGTAGTAGTTGAAGACTCGTAAAAGGTAACAGTTGCTAGTACCTGATTAAAGTTCTGCATATCCTTCATACACAGAAAGTTTTCAGGATCTATAGTTATGTACATTCCTTTACAATTCCTGATCAAGGACTGTTTAAGAATGATGAATATTATGATCAACAGGAGGAGTACAAGAGAAAAGATGATCAAGGAAATCAAGAAATATGCCACCTCATGGAGGTCATCAGGGATAAGCCCCATTCCATGAGCAAATTGCACTCGATAGTTGTGATCCAATGGAGTTGCTCCTGGATTGCCAAGTAAGTATCCCTGAAAACCATTCCGATAAATTACTATGACACTGGTTACGTTATCTTGTTGAATGCCATCATCACTCTATCAATGATTGGCATATGAATATTTGATACCTTAAGATCAATCAGTGGCTGATTTCCATTTTCATTCCCTGCAGTGCCAAGAAAACGAAGTGTTTGAACCGTCTAAAGCAACCACCTCCACTCATGAAAATGAGGTCTAAATTAACTCATGATACATATAGAGACTGGCTGCACCATGACATATCATATCAACAGAGATGATTTCCACAAAAGACTCCCTTCATATCTCATATTTAAAAGGCTGCAAAGATGCAATGTCTTGAGAGAACTTTTAGGGATTGACTTCCAAGTAGGAACATGACATTCGATCCTCTAGTAAATGCAGCTGATGTAATGTACACCATCAATAATCTAAATCTCCCTTACAATCTTTGAGCAGCATAACAAAAATTTCATCTCATGCTCGCAACATTTTTCATTTGTTATCCAGTTGAAAGTTTCTTTTACTGTAGAAAATTAGCAGAAGTTATTAAAAGGAGGAGGTAGACAAACCACTATGGCTTAGGCAAAAAGTATCATATTTCACAGTGGGAGAGAACTGACATAATAGTTGCAGTCAAGCAAGTATAAAACTGAAGCAAGTTATAAACCACTCGCAAAACCAGGGCCAAATTTTAGGTGATTTCGGTCTTTCAACTGATTAATATTGATCCGTCAAAAGTTCTTACCATCTGATATTAATTGTGCTATGACTGGAACAGGAAGACCTGAATACGAGTCTCCACCAATGTAGAAAGAATTTGACAAGTGCTCCGGGTGATCAATCAGAAACTGGAAATTAAATAGAACCAGTAACATCAGAAATAAAATATATTATGCAGGCAATTTCAATATCATAAGCATTCTTTCCACCTTGATGGTATGCAATCCCACATGTTTTATAATTATTGAGTTGTGAATCCAAGTTGGAACCCGAATTACAAAGTGATGGAAGATTTCTTTAAAAATATTTGCATCATTTGTTTTGGGAGACCATAACCTTACGAATTCCTTATAATGGTGGATGTTGTACCAGAAGAATTGACAGTAAAAGAGGCTCACCTTCCTAAGAAACTGGTAAGCTTGATTGCTTGCTTGCAAAGTAGTAGATTCAAGAGCCTCTGGATTTCTTGCGTAGGAAAATCCAGTACCTACTGGCCAGTCCAAAAAAATTATGCTTGCCACCTAAACATGAAATCCGCCAATCTCAATGTCATGATTTATACAAAGTTATACTACTATTATACATATATGTATCTGATTTCCTTTCAAGGAAACACATCAAACCTCTGTCCAGGAATAAGGTTTCAAGACCAATCTGGGTAAACTGCCACTGTACTCCACTGCCTCAAAAGTAAATGGTCCTGTCAATTTTTTGGTAGGTAATTAGCATGTAGTAGTAATTTAAATGACTGAGAAAAATACCCCCATACTGATTCTGCAGTTGAAGACATAATGCAACATACAGAAAATGAAATTTACAATGATGTTATCTCATCGAGTTTTAATTCCTATTATGATGAACAGCGTACAGTGTAACCATCTGAATAAGGAAAAGCTGAGATGTGGACAGCCATGACAGGTTGCTGGAGTTATTCTGAAGAATGGCAAAAGAGTTTTTATATTCACGTCATTTTTGAATGTGGAAAAGGCAGTTTGAAAGCCAATCATGAATGGTTGAAGGGAGCATTATGAATTAAACATTCTGATTATACAAAAGCAAATTATCAGTTGCAAGCAATGTTTTAAAACCCGGACCGTCAATTGAACCGGTGAGGTGAAAGGGTCGAGATTCAACCGGTCGGACCGGTTCAATCTCGGTTCAATGAATTTTTTTAAAAATAATTTATATAAATATATATATGCACAAAATAAGACATGCAATGGACTAATTTAAAATTTTATATGATGAAAAGTTCACTATTTTTGAATAATTTGGATTTTCAAGAATAAATTATTTAAATTATAAGTTAAAACAAATAAATTTCATCTCAATTTCAATTATATCTACCAAAAAAATCTTAAATCCAACCCAAAAATATCACAATATTTTGAAATTATACAAATTCACGTCTATGAGAATTTGATATTGTGAACTTAAATTTTAATTTACGTCTTTGAGATTTAAAGATTGTAATTTAAAAAAGAAAGTTTGGAGTTCGAAAGAAATTAAGAGAATTGAAAATAGAAATGCAAACTTGATAAGAAACAAAAAATGAGATAAAAGTGAGTGGTTGTGACATTAAATAATTTGGGTTAAAGAAAAATAATTCTTTTTTAACTTTTTCCAATTTAATGGGTAAAAACAAAATTAAAAGATAGAAGAAAACATCAATAAATTAAAACTAATGAGGTTTGATTAAAAATGGAGTGACAAAAGAAAATATGAGAGAGAAAAGAAAGAGTTGAAGATTAAAAAGAAAGAGTAATGAGAGGATGAGATTTTGTAAGAAAAATGGAAAAATGAAATATAGATGTTTGTTTTATATAAATAAGTTATCAAAAAAAGCAAATAAGATGTGATGGTGCAATGGTTACTACATTGGTCTTTTATTACAAAGGTTTTGAATTCGAATCTTGATAGAAGCATTTTGCAAAAAGTAAAAAAAAAGAAGCATTTTGCAAAAAGTAAAAAAAAAAAAGGAAAACTCAAAAATCGGTTCAACACGGTTCACCGGTTCTGGCAAAGTCAACCAGAGTATAGAACCGGACCGGTGTCATGGCCGGTTCGCGGTTCAACCGGTCGAACCGGCCGGTCCGGTCCGATTTTCAAAACATTGCGTGTATTGCAAGACATACATAAACTCCAATACTGAACTTCCCTGCATACACAAATTCACTCTCAGTTAAAGATTGTATACCTATTTCATAGACGAGACCGGAAATTGAACTGCAACCAGGGCCTCCGGTAAGCCAAAGGACCAGAGGGTCCATTTCTGGATTTGATTGGGACTTAATGAAGTAGTAGAAGAGCTGCACATCCTCTGATTCGTCCACACCTATGTACCTGAGCTTTAAAAATTCACCCTGTTAGTTTGATCAAGTAAATTATGCGCTGATCCTACAAACTTCGAAAAAAAAACGGCAAGGGATAAGGTGAGGGAAGGAGTAAGATTCAAACTCTCATCTTTAAACTGCAAAGAAAGGCTAACATAACTACTGCTAGTTAGGCTCCATCATGTGATAGAACAATCGTAAAGTTCCAGGATTTATAATGATCAACCATTCCAGATAGGAATTAACAAAAATATTCTAAAACTATAAAAAGATATGTAAAGTTCAATCTAACAACTTGATGTAAGCATTCTCACACATTAGTAACATATCTTGAGTTCAGACATATCTCTACCCCTTAATATTTAGAGACTAAAAACTCGCATGATTGGAGTTTCGGAATTTAGAAGTCGTACTAAGTTTAGCTTAATTAATTGTTAGTGTATATTTCACTGTATTTTAGTTCATTATAATGATATTGAATTCTAATCTGCTTGTATTGATGCTCACAAGTAGCCGAAGTATATATATATATATATCATCCAATTATCACAGAGCCATCATAGATTAGCAATGAGCAGGGTATACAGAAGGAGCTACAAAAAAGAAGAAAAAAAGATCTATCATTACAAGTAACACGTACGCACTGACCCTGTTTCCAGATGAAAAGGCAGTTTTCCATCAAAACCCGGAAGAAACTCGAGTTCAGAACCGGCCCATACTTGAAGCTTCGAGTTTGAGTTGAAACAAACTTGCAATACAAGCGAAAGCAGCAGCACTATGAAATCAACAAACTCTCCCTTCGACTTCCGTTTCGGTTCCGCCATTTTTGCTTGTCAATTACATTTGCAGTGCGGCTTACGGGCACAAATATCTATCTGAGCTTCCGGGCTTCAGCCGACAATCATTGATTCAGTCATAATGCAGAGTTAGGGTGCAGACGCGTGTCAGTTCACACGACGAAGTACATTTTTTGTCATCGTCTCGGGCCCTCGTAACTTTTTTTTCTTGTTTCGGCGGCCGCGTTGAAAAGGTGATTGCAGAAACCACACCCGAGGTTTCTTTGAGTAGCACCCACCTCCCCTATGATTTACAAAATAGCACTGACCTCCCTAGGAACTAATTGTGGCCTGTTGCTGTCAAAAGAGTGTGTGAATTTACCTAGCAATCCCCAATTATTTGTAGTTATGTGATGAAGGAATTTTACAAGGGATAATTGCAGAAACTTCCCTTGAGATTTCTTTGAGTAGCACTCACCTCCCCTATGATTTACAAAATAGCACTGACCTCCTCTAGGAACTAACTGGGCCTTATTGTTGTCAAAAGAGTGTGTGAATTAACCTAGCTATCCCCAATTATTTGTGGTTATCTGATGAACGAATTTTACAAAAGAATGAATGTTGCTTGTGAACGAATTAAGGGAGTAAATAAGCTAATTAATTACTAATTAAACAAATTGAGTAACTAGTTGTTTAGTATTACCCTTTAAAAAATGTTTAGTAACTTAAACAAATTGTTTAGTATTACCCTTTAAAAAATGTGGACGAATCCAAGTTTGGAAGAAATGTAACCAATGGACCTAACTGGGGGACTAGGGCTGCAAACGAATCGAGCCGCTCGCGAGCCGCTCGAGTCAAGCTCGAGTCGAGCTCGCTATTAATCGAGCTCGAGTCGAGCTCGAGCCGGCTCGAGTCAAACTCGAGCTCGAGCTCGAGCTCAGAATATTAAGCTCGTTAGCTCGCGAGCCGGCTCGCGAGCTTGGGTATATATATATATTTTTTATTTTTATTTTTATTTAATAATAAAATTACGTATATTATATATATATTTTTTTATTTTTTTATTTTCATAGTAAAATTACGTATATATCCTTAATATTTTATAATTTATTAAGAAAAAAATATTATTTTATTTATTTTTTTAAAAATAAAATAATTATTTTTTATTTTTTTTCGAGCTCGAGCTCGAGCTCGAGCTCGGCTCGACTTGATTCGAGTCGAGCTCGAGCTCGAAATTTGCCAGCTCGTCGAGCTCGAGCTCGAGCTCGAGCTTGGTAAAATTTAGTCGAGGCTCGGCTCGATTAGCTCAAAACTCGACTCGGCTCGGCTCGTTTGCAGCCCTATGGGGGACAAAGTGTTCAATCCGTCGGCCAGTTACTGATTATAGGAAAATCCACCGAGTAACCAATATTCTGATCCTAAACCATTGGACAAATCTGGTGGATCAATCCGAGCTAACCATAGAACGGATTGTAAGTGGTTGATGAAATCAGTGGAGAAAATGCAGAATCCATTATGTGTTGGGCTTCGTTGTTTTAATTTTAAACGATTTTTGTATTTTAAGTTATTTTCTACTTTCTAGTGTCTGTTTGGATCTTGTAAGTCTACTAAGGCATATCTAATCTATGTAGCACGTTAATTGAGTCTTGTTAAAGTTTAGAAAATTGTGTCAAGTAAAGTTGTCAAATCCAATTAGGGAACTTGCATTGTTTTCATCTTGGATTAGATTTTTGTATCTTGTAAGGCTATAAATAAGTCTAACTTGTAACGTTTTCAGAAATTAAAGTCAAACACTTCACCTCCAACTACCAAATTAAAGTCAAGGAAACCAGCTGTGTTTTGAGTAGTGGATTGCTAAACCAGATCTCATTTATAAGCTGGTGCAAATTCAAACCTCATTTAGCCATTTAACTGGCCATTACTTTCACATGATACTTAAACTGTTACAGGTGCATTTGAAATGGTTTGCACTTATACCTTCTGAAGTTTGTTGATCCTTAATAACTTTTGTCTTTTGCTAATACTATTAGGCAAGCAAGATGAAGGGCAAATCTGGCATAAATTTCTCATCTCAATCTTTAATACAATTCTTTAATGGGACTCTTTCTAGCTTGAACCGAATTTGCAACGGGTTCTTTAAGTTCAGGGGTGGTCAATACAATTTCTTGAACCAGAGGGGAGGTGAGTGCAATTTTCCCTTGAATATAACATGAGAATAAATGTGTCTTTTTGCATTTAAGTGCTAAACTAGATATAAGATTATATGCACTAACTAGTTAAAGCAACCATTTGGCGCTGGCTTAAAAATTTTTGTTTTAACAGTCCAGCTCCAAATTTTGTTTTTGTGATAAAGGACTGTAATGAAGTATGAACTTGAGCTTTAAATTACAACAAATATTTCTACTCCAATTAATCTAATATATATAGCGACTAAATATGTGTGACGTGTCAGATGGACGAAATTTCATAGCCGTGGTGAGGACTGAGGAGAAGCCTGTTTACAAATCGTTGCTTATCTACACAGCGTTAGGTTTAGAATAGATTATTGCAAAAATTTTCTATTTTCTCCACAATTAGAACTCGTATTTCCTGTTTAATGACATTTTGATGGGCTATAGGGAAGTATGTGAGAGCTTGGCTGGCAATCCTCGTGTCAATGACAAGTATTCAAATTCAAAATGAAGTTAAAGTTGCTTTTTTCTCCCTTCTTATTTGATAAATGAAGTACGTAGAAGTTATTGTTCCTAACTATTGCTAAACATGACTTTTAATGGCTTTTTCACAACAAACTATTGTTCAACCTTTGTGTTTATATTTTAAATCTTACCAGGGAAACGGAAAAAGATGAGAGCTTTTTCACAAACAAATGTTTAAATTGTTTTGGGTATTATTATTATTATTTAAAGGAGATTCTAAGTCCTGCAGCAAAGGGGAAGAATCTGTCGTCATCTGATTAAAGTCCTTAATAAATTACGTATTGGGGATCAATTACTGTTTGTTGATAATATATAATCATTTTTTATGATAAAATAATATACTTTTGTGATACCATATCTTATGATAAGTAATATATTTATGGCCATGGCCCGATGACATAATGCTGTCGCTCCCAACTTACGGACCTTGTTTCAAGTTCATTATATATCCAGTCCATATTAAAAAACTTTTTTTTTTTTTAGTAAGTGGGAGGTTTTAAATTTAAGATTTCCTATCTATAATTTCTCTCACTTTACTATCCAATCCAACCCTCTCGCCCTCCCCTCCTCCCCCACTCCATCACTAGGATTTATTATAAGATAACTCTTTTTTTTTTTTTTTTAATGTCAATTGATAACATCTACCTGACACCTTGCTAATCTATATTAGGAAGAGAGTCACCTGAACCAAGGGTGCTACTACTACACGCACTGTAAATTTAACTGCAACAGTATTGGTTCTGAATTGCATCGTATGCATTGTTTTGTCTGATGGCCGAATCACCTAAGTCGAGTTGGGTTTTACTAAAGTATATACACGCATTACATTTTTCTTGTCTACCTATCAAAATAGACATGTATTGTACGCAAGAAGGTGGACAAAACAGAGAGCAGCACAAAGAAAGCCCAGTGGCTGCCTCATTCTATGCGGGGTTGACTAGATAAAAATGTGACAACCATCAGTGGACAGTCTATCCAAGCTAGAACTAAGACGTTATGGTCAAAGGCCCTTGAAATAAGTTAAGAATTCTAAAATATAAAAGTATGCACTCTCCAAAAAAAACAAGTAACAAGAAATTTTTTTTTTTATTTTGATGTATTCCACAGCATGGCTAAGACATTTTCACCAATATTAGGTAAATTAAGTATTTGTTGTTGGACAAGTATCTGTAAGCAATCTTACACAAAAAAAAGTACATATTGGTCGCCTATACACGATTAAAAGCACAGGACATTTGAGGGATGGATTAGATGTGTGAAAATTCACCAATTGATTACACCCTACAGAGGTTCATGAGATATCCACCTTTTGAACATGGCCTTGCATTCTGCTGGTCTGTACTCTGGAGCCGTGTGGCCTCCTCCCTGCAATCAGCAGTGCAAGTTAGACCTCAATCATGATTCAGGTCATACCACTAATCAGCAAATTAACAGGAGCAAGTCTCTTGCCTTCACTGTGGCAAATGTCATCCGGTTGGCATAACTCCTCGTATAACTATCACATTTACAAGGATAGATATTTCATGTTAATCAGTTTAACTTTAAAAGGGCTAATGTCTAAAGTTAATTTTTGAAAAAAAAAAAAAAGTTTTGCAACCAACCCTGCAACCTGCCCTTCAACCACCCATTGTCGCCAGTCATCAATGATAGGGTAGTTTAGAGACCTAATCCAAGCTTGAGTTGCAAAGAATGGAACAATGAAGTCATGGTCACCACTGAATCACAAAATTGATACTCTCAGGAAAAGGTTGAATTGCTAATTCAGTTCTGTCAATAGACTAATGAGCTTGTTTGTTTAGTAGGCGTGGACCAAAGTTACTCAACCTGTACATCAGTGATCTATAACCTTTACTGCTGAGGTTTGCATGATACGGTACACAGTCCCGAACAGTTGTGGTGTAAGGCAAACCATTGTTGCATCGTCGCCAATACCCAATGCTTTCCTGCAAATAGTCACAGCCTTAAAACAACTACACTGACACGTATGCTTGAACAAAAGGACAATGATACATTTGCATAATCAGTACTATGATTTAAAGTGGAACACACTCCGTGTTTGATACTCTGCATTCGACCAGCATTACCAAATCCAGCTGCAAAATTAAATTTCTAAATTTAACCAAATTTAGGAAGTTCTCACGCGAAGAGCTCAGAAGCCATGATTTTAGGTTGTACATATCCAAGGTAGGACATGCAAAGTCCCTTAATTCGTCATCCAACTCAGTTTTGTGTATTCTAACTGGCAAATAGAGTTTTTGCTTCCTTTATCAAAATGTTGATGAAGTGTCTCAATCTGTAGGTATCTTCCCATATCATCGTATGTATCGGTTGTCCCTGCTCCCTTAACATTGAATGGTATTTGGGCAGAAATCCCACTAACCAACATTTTTCCTGATAGCAGCTAACTACATTTGGAATAATAAATGCTAGTTCTCTTACTTC